CAATATTATTAGCTCCCGATGAATAGGTTGTCTGGCCTCTCTGCCTAAAAAGCCGGCATACACAAGTAGTAGAAGGCATACTCGGACAACATCGACGTCTTCCATCCGAGTGAAACCAGCTTTCTTATTAAATAATTTCTTCAGGTCGTCGACATGTAGGTTCGGCTTCTCCATTGACTCATCCGGAAAAACCCGGGATAACCATGATGGGCGGGCGATATGACGAGTGTACCGGCCTACATCATCGTGTCCGAATCGTAGACCAGTGATTAAGCAGAACTCCTTCCGCCCAAAGCAAGTATACGCTGGTGGAAAATGAAACCATATCTCTTCCTCACCACGTTGTATACTGTCGGGTAGATTTGATGTCATGGTCTGAAGCCACAAATGGGTCAAATTAGCATCTCCACCCGGATGCTGTACTCTCAGCCATGGCCCGAAGCAGGTTTCCTCAAACAATTGTCTTTGAGCAGGTGAAAGCTTCTTTGCAATTGTAGTGGCCAGGCTGACTTTATTTCTCAAGGTCAATTGAGCCGAAAAAAATTTCTACAAAAACAATAAACATACCAAGTTAGATATACCAAAAACTACACTGTGAAGATATACCAAAAACAATAAACATAAAAAGTAGTAGTTTATTCTTTAAACTAAAATTTGCAACACTGTTTTGTCTTTTGGTTGAAATGAAAATCGCAACGAGAGAATCGCAACGCGAGATGACAATCGCAACGAGAGAATCGCAACGCGAAATGAAAATCGCAACGAGAGAATCGCAACGCGAAATGAAAATCGCAATGCGATTTTGGTTTCGCGTTGCGATTCTCTCGTTGCGATTTCCATTTCGCGTTGCGATTCTCTCGTTGCGACAGTCATTCTCTCGTTGCGATTTTCATTTATCTCGTTGCGACTCTTCTGCAAATTGAAACTTGAATGGATTGCATTACTTCAACCAAAGACAGAACAAAGACAAAGACAAATACTAACTTGAAAATCGCAACGAGAGATAGCAACGCGAAATGAAAATCGCAACGACAGAATCGTAACGCGAAATGAAATCTAAGTGAAATGGTTAATCTATTATTGAAATGACCAGTAAACTTATCATCAGTTTCAATATGAAAAACCTACAATAATGCAAACATTTCAAAATAAAAATAATTAAAAAAACTAACCCTCGGAGGTTGATTTTCCATTTCTGAATATTGTGAGGGATTTCTGACCGTGAATGGTTGTGAGGGATTTCGCCGGAGATGGGACGGAAATCTTCGGAGATGGGGACGGATTTCTTCGCCGTAGAGAGTGAGAGATGGAGATGGGACTGAGTTGTGATTTTAGGTTTTAGGTTATGAGTTGCGATTACGGGATTTTGTCTTAATATTCTTTTTGTAATTTGAAAATAAAATACGCGTAGCGATTATAATGGCGCTTTAAATATCGCGTTGCGATTTACGGATACGCGTTGCGATTTTATGTATTATCGTTGCGATTTACGGATACGCGTTGCGATATACGGATACGCATTGCGATTTACCCATACGCGTTGCGATTTACGGATACACGTTGCGATTTACGGATACGCGTTGCGATTTATGTGTTCGCGTTGCGATTTTCATATTCGCGTTGCGATTTTGGAAAATCGCAATGCGAATTTGTACTATCGCATCGCGATTTTCAAGAATCGCGTTGCGATTTTGGAAACTGATTTGCGATTCTGGAAACTGATTTGCGATTCTGGGGATCGCGTTGCGATTTTTATTTCGCGTTGCGATTTTGTTGGTCATTTTGGCAAATCCAAAAAAAGTTGGTTAAAATCGTATATTATAACTTTTTTTTGGTCACTGAGGCGATTTTCTCTTTTTTTTTGGTCAAATCTCCATAACAAACTAATTAAATTAATATTTGAAGTTTTTTTTCCTTCAATTTTAACCAAGTTAAAATTCAAATTGGCCATGCCATAAGTATACAGGTGGACATCATGTTGAATGCTTTTTCTTAACTTTTGCAGTAGCTTAGGGTATTTACTGAGATTGTTAAATTCACTATGATCATCCCTTACAGATAAATAATTTCTGGAGAATTATTGGAAAGATATTCTCATCATATTTGATAATGCTTTACTTAAGTGTGTAATAAGAGATTAAGATATCGTTCAGTGTAGCTTGTTAAAAGTATTTTAGGTTAAAAGTTCGTTTCGACCGTAAAATCAATGTCAAACGTATAAAAAAAATATTGGCCGTGAAAACCGTGGTTTCAAACCAACCATAAAAACTATGATTTCTAACTTTTTTTTTAATTTCAACTTTACGTTTGTAAACAAATTATAATTTTATCCTTACCAATACATGAACTACGTTCAATTATATATTTACATTTTATTTTAAAATTTTACTGCTAATGTCCTTAAAAATAATTTATTACTTAATAATTTATTTTAATTACTATTGTTTTGTTAATATTCTTTTTGTCAAAACAATTATTTAAATTATTATTTGATAATAATTTTATGTCCACTTGTTAAAAAGTTTTGATAATATATTTTTTTAATAAAATATTTTGTATATAAAAATATTATTAATGTGTTATCTTAAAATATTTTTTATATTTTTATTATAGTTTAAGTTAATATATTTTATATATCACAATATTAATAAAGTGTAAATATAATTTAAATGATATATTTCTAATTTACGATATAATGTCTATAATGGACATTTTATCTTTTCAAATTCATCTTTTAATAATAATCCTAAACAATTAAATTTTAAATTATACTTAGTACTTTTAAAAGTTCGTCTCTACAACACTTTTAAAAGTTACTTTTCAAAAATTAAACCAAACTAAACTTAAATTGATTTATTAAATAAATTAATATTACAAAATTGTCAAACTCTTGTTTCTTTACGATCTAGTCCTAGTTTGGTTAACATGATTGCCATCGTAATATCTAAAAATATATAATTTTGAATGTGTTAACACCTTATCTATTTATTTGGAGGTTTGAGTGATTTAGACATTTATACATGAAAAAAGTATTATTTCTATGAATATTAAAATTATTTCGGACATTTTTGAGGTGCTAAGCAAAAATTTAAAAATAGGTCCTACAAATCAAATTTATATTTATTATATCGAATAATTAATTTAATAATATATTAACAAACTATAGAAAATAATTAAATTATGGACATTAAGTTATAATGTAGAAAATATGACTATTTTATAAAATTAAAAAAAAGAATAGGAGCCCTTAATTATAAATGTAAAAAATGAGACACCTGAGCAATAACTAGGGGTGTTCAAACTTCGGTTAGAATCGATTTAACCGACGAACTAAAGTTTTTTCGGTTAATCGATCATTTATTTTTTAGCTTGGTCGATTAACGGTGAATGATTTTTTTTCAAATTTCGTTATTGGTTAATTCGATTTGAAATTGATCGGTTAATCAAATTAACCACATTAATTGAAATTATTAAATATTTAATATATTATATATATTATTTATATATTATGTAGCCTAAATTTTGGTTTTAATCAAATTAATCGAAAATATAAGATATTTTAATATATAATATATATTATTTATAAACTTAGCTTAATTCAGTAATCGACCGATTAACTAAATTTTGTTCAGTTTGGTTAATTATTTTTTAAAAAAAAATTTAGTTCGATTAATGGTTAAAGCAAAATAAATTTCGATTATTAAATTTTTAAAAATTTAATTTAATCGATTAATCGAATCGACCGATTAAACACCCTAAACTCGGAGCGCTCCCTTTAGGCAATATAATACCTCTTTTTATATCAACGAGTTAAAAGGATAAATTGATCTTTAGATTTTTCTCTTATCTTAATATTTTATTATTTTATTTTTCGTCTGATTTAGATACCTTCATCGAGGATTAGTCTATCATTAATAAATGATAACACAATTCAATAATCGAATGATACGCAACAATATTTACGTAATTTATATATCATGCGATAAATTCAAATAATTAATTGATTATTTTTAAAACACATAAAAATTTAAATAATTAAAAAAATATAATTTAAAGAAATAAAAGAAATTAGATACTGAAAAAGGAAAGATAATATAATTCAATTTTAAGTTATCATTTAAATATTTGTTACTAAAAAAGGAAAGATAATATAATTAAATAATTAAATATTAGATACTAAAAAAGAAAGATAATATAATTAAATATTAGGTTATCATTTGAGTTAAAAATTAAATAAATGATGGGAAAAAAATCGGCTAGCTTCCAAACCATTAAAATGTTGTATTATAATTATTAATAAAAAAAGATTTTTTTTTACTTATAAATTTAAAAAAAATTATTAAATTTGACAAGTCATAGAAGTGGTACCCCTCACTATAATATTCACACCAAAAGAATATCCGTCACAATGACATCCAATGTTTGTACGGTGATAGTCTATGACATTGGTGGTTATTATTAAACTAATAAAGAATAAACTGATTATTAAAAAGGGCAAAACTACACCATTAGTCACCAACATAGCACTTCTCTCCTATTTTAATCATCAAATTAATTCTTTTAATAAAAATATTATTAATTTATTTATTTAATTTTGATCATTTATCGCTAAAAATTTAATAGAAAAATTAGATATTGCTTTGTTAAATTTTTATCAAAATTTATATTGAAGTTATATTATATTGCTCACGAATCAAGTGACTTTGATGGTAAAAAAATTGTTATTTCTTGAGGAATCGAATTCAAACATTAAAAATATCAGGAGTGTGAGCATTCATGGTTAAGAGGGCAAGAGTTTTTTTAACATATAGTTATCAAAGGTTTTGAATTTAAATACGATACTTGTATGAATACATAAAAAATAATTTAATATCAGCTAAATTAGGACTGGATCGAATCGAATATAATTGTTCGATAACTTAATTATTTAATGCAAAGAAAACATATTATTAATTGATGTCCAAAGGAAGAGTTACAGGACAAGAAGCACCAACATCAAAAGTGAAAATCTAGGATCTCAATTTGCTGGGATTCTATTACAAGTCCACTCCAATGGCTAAAAGCCAAAATTCATGCCACTAAAACATAAAGTTCAAAAACGACATCACTTTAATTTATTAAAATTATTAAACATTTTAATTGGTGAAATTTGCCACGGTGGCTTGTGGCTCACAAGCTTTAGCGGATGGAACGGCTTCAACACCGGGGTGTGGCTCAACCGGCTCGCAAAGCAGCTCGGCCGGGAGTTCACCGATTCCCTTCAAGTAAAAGGTGTAGAAAATCTTGAAGGGGAAAACGATTTGGCGAAGCTTAACCTGACCGGTGACACCTTCAAAGATGCCTGACCCGCCAGTAATAGCCAGATACGTGTCCTCGTATGTCAAGTACGGTCCCTGCACAGCTATGTGACCGTAGCTTCCGAAGTAGAAGCTGAATATGGCCTCGTACCGGTCACCTTTCATCTCCGGTTTGTTCTCGATTAAAATGCATATCCCCGCCGTTATTCCGATCCGTTTCTCCAAGTCTCCCCTGTAAATCTGAAATAAACAGGACTAAATTACAACTGCCCAAATAATATAGGGACTAATGGTGTAATTAGTCTTTTCTTTTTGATTTTTTTGTTTTCCCGAGAAACAAACAATTCAGTCCAGAAAATGAAAAAGGAGAAGAAAGGCTTACTTTGTTGCTGAAAGGGACAAGATCGCCAAGTGAGTTGACAGATTTCTGGCTTAAACGAAGATAAGCTGGACTCCCACGATCTCTCTCGTTCAACTCATAAATATGCATTTCTTGAACTTTCTCTGCAACAAAACAAAACCCAGAAAAAATGTTTGAATCAACAAGATCAACCCAAAGAGACAAATCAAACTAAAAATATGAAAGTATAAAACTGATGGGTTTCAATCAAAACCGGTAAAAGAAGGGTGACTATTACCGGCAGTTGAGCTAACAGATGAAAAGGCTTGGGTTTTGCAAGTGAAAGCCTGTTTGGGAGCCGAGAAAGTACTGCAGTTCGATGCCAAAAGCTTGTGACTCTGAGTTAGAGATGGGTATTTGATGAGTTTGATGGATGAAGCAGGCAGCAAGGAGTTGATGGTCGAAGTTGATCGGGGTTTCCCTATTATCCCAGAAGAAATGGCAGAGCTCAGAGCAGATCTCGAGGCAGCCATTGGTTCTTGAAACTCCGACTTTACCGTGTTTGGGGAGAAGGAAAGTGGAGGAATTTGATGAGTATATGATTAAGATTTAGACCATATTTATGGAAAGGAATAATTGTTTCTATCCGGGGGGGGGGGGCGGTTGGTGGACGGTGAAAATTTTTGACACGTGGGTTTTGGGTGTATGCTATGACGTACAACTATGGATTGGACTGTGTGGAATGTGCCAACGTGGACGGTCAAGGCAGTCTTAAATATATTACTATTTCTTTTACGTGTGAAAAAAAGGTAGAAATGGTGCGTTACATTTTGTATTATGTTTCAATACACGTGATTTGATTTCAAATAAACATTTATTTATTTGGACGGAGCGAGGTTTCCTTTCTTTAAAATTAGATGGGATATTATTTATTAAAAAAGCTACAAAAAGTAAAATGGTAAATGGGTAAATTATACCGTTCTTTACTATACTTTATTGTCTCTCCTATTTTGTTCACCAAACTTTTAATTTTTTTAATTTATTCACTAAACTTTACAAATTAAATAATTTTGCTCACTCCCCCGTTTTCTCTCTAACGGCTGATTTTTTATTATTATTTAATATAAAATAGTTAAAAAATAAAATAAAAATAGAAGGTGGACGGATGCCACTGCCGACCACCGTTGACCGCTATAGATGGTGATCGTTTGATCTCAAAATGGGATGGGTCGCTTTTCCTCCACGTCGTGAGTTTGAATCCGACCTCATTTTGTCAGAAGTTGCTCCGAAGTTCACAAATTTGAGATTGAAAGTGAGGAAACTGAAACGTTTCAGTCCAAATTCATGGGTTTTAGGATATTTTCTGGTGAAACAACCACCATATCCGAACTCAGGGGGTCGAGACGAGCCGACCCATCCCATTTTTGGACTGAACGACCACCATCTACGACAGTTGACGGTGGCCGGGATAAAAATGATGTGGTGCCCGACAGAGAGAAAATGGAGAAAATAAGGAAAAAAGTAAATTACACCATGAGTAATTAAACTTTACTCTATCTCATATTTTACTCACAAAAACGACATTATTTTATAGTATATTCAAAACAACGTCGTTTTGATTCATGTGCCACTTCATAACGCCGTTAAAAAATTAACGGCAAAGTGAGCAAAATAATTCAATCTGTAAATTTTGATGAGCAAATTAGAAAAATTGAAAAGTTCAGTGAGCAAAATAGGAAGGAGAGTAAAGTGGAGTGAGGAACTGTGTAATTTACCCATGATAAATTATGGAGTATTAATAATCATTAAATTTTTATAATTATTTTATATCCAGTGGTCGGAAAAATACAGAAAAATTCCAGAAAATATTTAAAGCACGAGAAGTCACTTACAATCATCAGTTTCCCAAAAAGATTGATGAAAATGGGGGTTTTATAAAACCTAACTATTTGAACCTTTACTAGTTACAATTGACGATAGTGAACATAAATCTAAGAACACCATATGAACAGGGTCGACGAGATGAACATAATGGTACCAAAGGCGTCTCACACCACCACACGGTTAGCGGTGAATCGAAAAAAACTAATATGGGTAGATAGAGAGAAAAATATTTCTGATTTTCACGAACATGGGAAAAAAGAGTGGATAAGAAAGGTGTTACTTTTTTTAAACCAACTTAAACTTTTGGGTAAATTATTCCCTAAGTTCCTAAATTCCAAAAACTCACAAACTGACATTAACTTTTATAATACTTTCAATTGAGTCCCAATTCGAGATGTGACAACTCTCTCCCCTTAAGAAAATTTTGACCTCAATATTTTACATGATAAAAAAGATGAAGAAACAACACCCTCATGAACAACAGAGTTACTGAAATGACCTTCCGAAACCATGGTTACCCCACAGTACTTTAACCATTGATATTAATATGATTATTAGAACTTGATGTTTTGCAATTAGTCCTACTCATCACATAACCTGTCAAGGAGTAGACCTCAGTCAACGGTAAATGATCATTCTAATCATCTCAGAACCCTATAATATGACATTTCAAAATCTGAATAGTTTACCCAAATAGATCATCATACTACAGATAATAGGTTGTACCGAAGTTTTAATCGTGTATCAGAGCCTCAAGAAGAGTTTTTTTAGAACTGTGACACAAATCCCATATCTCGGTCAGTCTTCATAGATAAGGGAAACTCCTCAAAGTAAACAATCTCAGAAGTAAGTAACCCAGTCAGTTATCAGGAATGTAACCAGTTCGAATAAGAATAAATTAAATGGATTTATCTAGATGATTGATAAAACACATATTAAATCTTACTTTGATAGAGTCAAAGGCAATCTACTGAAAAAGTTTACAATTACTCACTCATAAATCTACTCTAAAGTCTGTATGGGTTGAAATAAACTAGACAGAAATAAAATTATAGTTTTCATACTTTCATAGTAATAGTCGAAATTGACTCCCTCCCTTCGAGACAATCTGAATCAAAGTAATATATATGTTAAATCCTTTCGATTTTCATAATATAGACAATACATATGAAATTCTTATATTCAATCCCATTCAGAATACTTCAAAACTTATACTCATGTTTCATAATAATGAATATCAAATATAGAGTTAATAATTCCAAGGGAAGAGGAATGATAGTGTCGAAACACTTTCCCTAAGTAAAATTGAATTAGAACGATACAAATATCCTATTTATTAACTGAAAGATGAAGTTATTAGTATGTATCGAAACTAATCTACGAAGGATTTGAAAGAATTCAAAATAATTCATACCAAAATAATATTCCATTATGGAATGCAAAACTTTACACAAATCTTTGGCAACTCATGCGTTTCTAATATAATATTGGTAAAAAATCCTTTTTTTCTAGGAAACCCACGATGTGATAGAATAAGAACTCGATTAGGTTGTCGTTATTACAGGAATCCATTTATATTCTTATATTATCACGCAGAACTAAATTTTTTCAAACCTCACAATCGAGATGAACTTAAAAGAACATTTACTTATAAGGTATATAAAATTCCTACGAGTTACTTCTTAGGAAAGATTTTATAACGAGTTTAGAGATTACGGTCATAGTTTCCCATTTAAAACTGAACATAATGTTGAAAACCAGATATTATCACATCTTAATTTCAGGAGAAAATCGAGAATAAATTATGAATTACTAATGCAGTTTAGCCGAAGAGGACTGAAGAGTGTTAAAAGTACACCAAGAACATATATCTCTACCTTTTCTACTTTAGGAGTTGACTAAAAATGTTTCAGTTTAGACATATGTTGATTCCCCTAACAGTGAATAACGATCGCTATTTGACTTAATTACAAGAGTTCAGACCTTATACCCTAAATAACCAATTAAGGTGTCTAAACGACAACATACATCCAAATCAGGCTCACATCTATATATTAAGTACTAAACTATCATTACATAAAGGTAGTAACATTTCAGAATGGCATCGGAGTCTCGATAATTTCAGAAAATATTTAAAAATCTTGTGGCATGATTTTTCAAAAATCATTTTTCATACTTTTCTAAAAATTCTTTTGCAAATTTGTTTTAAACAAATTTTTAGAATTTTAACAGATGCACAATCCGAAAATTGAAACTTGGGCTATTATACCACTAAATGTAACCCACTAGACCCAGACTCGGAGTTACAATTGAATAAGGGTAATCACGTTGATCGCATAAACGACCCACAAACGATTAATAAGTCATTTTGGAAACATTTACCGAATACAAAATCAGAAATAAATGTATGTCATATCTTAAGAATGTTGAGAAATAAATATTAAACTCCATACATTATATAATCGAGACCACGCCTACTATAGCCAAACTGATTCTATATCATGTTAATCTCAAAAAGAAAGACAAACGGAGTGAGCTACAAAACTCAGTGTGTCCTCTAGTTTACATCAGGTAATATCAAAATGCAGAAAATTCAAACGTAAAATAATAAATAAAATAATAATCGAACAATATTAAAATTCAGATATTTTATCAGCAGAATGTCCTAACAAAAATTCACAATCTTACCTTACGTTTCGAATCAACAGAATATGTACATTACCTTACAAGGAGAAATCCAAAACCGAATACCAAAATCAGAATGGGGATTTACCCCTCCGTAGAGGATCTCAACAGAAACATAACGAAGATATAATCTCATGCAAGTGTCAGAACGGATAATTAATTTCATGCAGATGTCAGAACGGGGAATTAATCCCATGCAGATGTCAGAATAAGGACTAAGCCAATGAAGAATTAAAAATGCATCAACATGTAAATTAATGGTGATGTCACAACATTAAGAAGTTAGATATGTTGTATATATATAAATATATATATAATCAGATCACGAACATGTTTACATATAATAACATATAACATAACACGTTAAATATATCGAACAAGTCAAGGGAACACACCTATAATAGATAATCAATATCGGCTAGGCTTTATGTTTCCCACGATCAGTAGTACTAGATCCTACGGATTGTGAATGCATATCTCGAGACGAGTGAGCAGACTCAATTGAGCATAACGGTAGTAATCAGGATTTACTGGTGTGCGATCAGGAGACACGAGGACACCTTCAGAAAATTAGACTCAAAAGTGAGTTTAAAACCTCACAATTTATTTAACATAATTAGGACTTAAAACGAAAAATGATGCAAAACAAGGCTTTTAGGGTCAGAATTTGTCAAAACGAACTGCGTAAACGGGCTCATGACGTCGAAAAATGTCAAGATAAAGATTTTCAAAAAAAAGTCAACGGTTATCGGAAAAGTTAACAATCAAAGTCAAAGGGTCGAGTCGGTCAAAATCAACAGATCGGGTTGGTCAAAGTCAATGGGTCAGGACCTGTTCAAGGTCAAACCAACATAATGAAGTCTACTCTCGTCCGGCGGGACCTACTCTAGTGGCTGAAAAAATATAAAAAAATCTAAAAAATATTTAAAAGCACGAGAAGTCACTTACAATCATCGTTTTCCTGAAAAGATCGACGAAAAATGGATTTTTATAAAACTCGACTATTTAAACCTTCATTGGTTACAAACGACAATGACGAACAAAAATCCAAGAACACTAGATAAACTGGGTCGACGAGATGAATACAATGGCACCCAAAGTGTCACACACCACCACACGGTTAGCAATGAATCGAATAAAAACTAAAATGGATAGATAGAAAAACGTTTATGATTTTCACGACATGGAGAAAAAAGGGGAGAAGAAAGCCGTTGGTTTTTAACCAACTTAAACTTTTGGGTAAATTTTTTCTTAAGTCCCTAAACTTCTATAAACTTACAAACTGACATTGACTTTTACAGCACTTTCAATTTAGTCCCAATTCGGGATGTGATAGAATGTGCCGCGCTTTGATTTGGAAAGCTTTTGGCTTTGGGTTCAAGACGAGTTTGATGGATGAAGCAGGCAACGATGAATCGGTGAACGAAGATGATCTGGCGTTACCCATTATTTTCCCAGAAGAAATGGTGTAGCTTAAAGCCGAACTTGAGGCAGCCATTGGCTTTTAATATCGTTTGTGCTTACAGTGGAGTGTGTTTGGGGAGGAAGAAAGTTGAGGAATCCATGGGAAAGTTGGTGGACAGTGAAATTTGGCACGTGGGTTTTTGGGTGCATTGAATGACGGTGCAATCATGAATGAACGGTCAAAGCAGTCTTCAATTATCGAATACTCCATTATTAAACGTGAAAAAAGGGGAATGGCACGTTGGATTTTGTACGTTGCATGATACACGTGATTTTATGTTCAAATAGAAAAATATTATTTAATTGGACGCAAAAAGTTTTTAACTTTTTGCCCTTTAAAAGTTCACCCGTATATATTTTGGGCAATGATATGCTAAAATAATTAAAATCGAACAATTTTTTAATATTTAATGTTATATTATTTATTGACGGTGTATAGGTTTATGCATTATCCACGCATCAAATATTTGTGGAGTTTGTTCTTAGTGTACAGCAAATCTTGAATGCCAAGAGACTTTCCCAGCTTCTTCAAAGAGGTGCATCCCTCTGTGCCAGAGCTTTTGCATGCAGCTTTAAGTCCCTAATGAATTTCAAAAAAAAAAAAAAATTAAATCATTTTTCTGGGGAAAGAGTTTTTGATTTGTTTCAAGTGATAAAGAAGCTATCGGAAAAGGCTTTATAGTTGTGTCATACCTGCACCGTGGCACGATGCAGTCGGATTCTTCGCATTTTGTCGAGTGCAGTTTCAGTATGAGCCATGTCTTCTTACAGTGTCTACAACCTCCGGCCACCCTAACGGTGCATCTTTTTGAATGGAAGAATAGCCTTTTCATGAGACGGCAATTGGAGTCGGAGCAGAGCGAGCGACATCGAGCGGCATGTAGCAAGAGTTCCAGCGCTTCCTGTTCAATCAGATAATATTCCAAGTTAATTAACATTTATGTGGATCAACTGTTTTAAAAATGGACAGTATCTTCGTACCGATAATTTATCCGTCTTCTGATCTCTCTGTTCTCAGACGAAGAATCAATGGCGGAAGAATGAGGAGTCAACTTATGAGTGTGCAAGGAACAACCGTCTCGTTGATAACATGCAGCACAAACAAAAAATTCAGAACAGGTCTCACAGTGCCAACACTGGCCTATTGGTGTGTCCTTGTTACAAATACAGCAGTTGGTAGTAGCAAGCAACGCTTCCGGATTGTGAAGGTAATATAGGATCATCATCGAGGTATGCTTGGCCCGACGAAGCGTGTCGAACTGATAGTTGTTCTTCTGACAGAAGAATAAAAACTTGTACCTATCTTCAAATAGACCATTATCCATGCAGACATCTTTATCGTCAGTATCAGAAAGAACATCATCCACCATGTTCTGGAAAAAAAGAAAGACATGCATAAATACTCCAACCTCTTCATGATAAAGGTAACGAAACGGTTAAAACTGCAGGAGCTAAGATCTTACCCGACGGAGTGAATGTTTTTCACCATTCAATAAAGTGTGAGTGGAATCCTTGTAGGTTCTTTGTTTTGCACCATGGCACCTGCAAGACGACATGAAGAAAAACAAGAAAAAAATGCACAAACACTGAAAAATTACCTTCCACAAAGCTGAAAGCTTTTACCCAGATGGCAAGACCATCGGCATCCGTTTAAAGTGGCTTTATGGCAGCATACACAGACGAACTGCAGGTGAGCAATGATGAAATCCTCCTTCATAGGTAATATATTTTGGCCCAGCTGCCAAAGCAGGAAGAAATGAAATAATATGTTTAGTGACCATCATAGTTGCATAAAAAAGGAATTCGACAGAAAGCTAGACTAAACAGATTTAAAATAGTATGGTTTGTAAAATTTTACCTTCTGCATCAGCAGAAGATCCTTAATGCCATGACCAGATGGATTTGTGTGTCCCATGGCTTGCAATGTTCTCTTTGACACAGTTTTCATGCTCATATTTTTCGAGTCTTTCTTGATTTGTTTTATCACATCGTTGGCAGCACCAGACCAATAGTCACCATCAAAATATGGCAAATGAGCAGCTGTCACCTTGGTGTTGTATTTCCCAGTGGAGAAAAGTTGATCATAGAAGTTTGTCACATCGACCACTATGCCAGATTTAGAAGCCTTTTTTAGCATGGTCTTATGCCTGCACTTGCAAGAATGCTGCTAGTCAAGATGTGTATGCAAAGAAGGATAGAAAGACAAACAGGCACAACGCTGCACACACGTAGACATATATACGAGATAAGTGTGTGTGTGAGGGAGAGGGAGAGACATACCACTGCCGCAGCTTATCAGACTTCGGTATTTTCTGATCCTCTGGGTGGCAATACAAGATATAATCTTCGCCTTTCCTAGGTGGACAGGCCCATATGTAACAAGTTGCAAATCCCCTTTTCTTGCAGTAGTCAAGGTATCCTACCTAAAAACGGAAACAGAACACGAAAACAAGAAATGATCTCAGTGATCCAACTATAGCAACCAATGAGATTTGAAAAGCTATAATAATCGGAGCAGGAAATTATATGATATACCAATATTTCGTGATAAACAACAGTTCGAAGAGCTACTCCGCTAGCAGCAGTTTCTGTTTCGGGCCTAAAATACTTAATAGAATCAAGGTACGATATATAAACGCTGCGTTGATTTGGTCGACTACATTCTGCACCATACTCTTGAACATACATGATAAAAAGGCATACATCTGCCCCTTCAATAATCTGAAACAAAAGAATAACCTGAAAATGGAAAACAAATTCTCATGGTTCAGTGAAAATGAAATAAATCTAGATATTGATCCCGAAAGAGGCATGCTACAATTTGAGAATACCTAACTACCTTCAAAACATTTAATAATTTCCAAAGAAATCTTACCTTTGACTTGTATGGAAATTCGGCAGGGTAATTCTGATCCTTAAGTATATCTAAAAGCTTCTCATTCACTTTTACATGTTTCTGAACAGATAAAACCTCCCTGACAATAAGACCTTCTACTTCAGGAACCTATTGAACAATAGAACATTAAACAGTCAATGAAACAGCTAAACTAAGTACAAATAGCATTGTGAATCAAAGAATGTTGCTACAAAAACGAGAACATTACACTGAAACGTGCTATCTTACCTCATCAATGCTCATTCCTGTAGCCCTTGCCTTCTCTTGCCTGTTTTTCTGAAGACACCTAGACAGCCTTCGCTCTAAGTGGTCACTGAGTCTGGTTCGCGGCAGATCTTTTGCACCGGAAACAGTACTCACTGTTGGGGGCATCTGTTCTCCGTTTTCAATTTCTTTCAAGCAGCATTTTGGGCAGATAAAATCTTTTCCTTCCTTATTTTTTTTCTCATTAAAGAGAGCACATATCTGGTGTTGCCAACATTTACATTTATCACACTGAACCCACTGCAAGAAAACAACATTAGGAAGTGAGTCTTTCAGTTTGAAACTTCAGGACTATGAGAAATATTATATACCCTGGATGGATACTTACCCATTCTTCTGGTTCATCGTCATTCTTTATTTTAATTAGCTTTGACTTCGAAACAGATCTCCCAGAAGCTGTGATACACTCAGACCGAGATGCCTTATAGCATGTGGAACAAAGATAAATGCCATTTGCTTCAGGTATCACTTCAGGTATTCTATAAAACATTGCATCGCGTCTGATACGGATACAACATGACGAGCAATATATCGGTGCAGGAGAAAGTGAAAGCTTAGCCGCTCCACACAACTGGCACGGATCATTACTTTCAACTTTGCTGATCCCGTTTCCGTTTTCCCTTTCTTTCTTTCCAAGATCCTATTTTAATAAGAGAAGACTGTGTCAATGCACCTTCATGAATAAATGCAAAGTCTATGCACCTTCATGAACAAATGCAAAGTCTATGCACCTTCATGAACAAATGCAAAGTCTATGCATCTTCATGAACAGTAATTTTAATTAGATGATTAAACTCGGATATCCGCTAAACAGGACAGCACAATAAAATCAATAAACAACAATGAAAGCGCAAACCTTATCAATGCACTTTCTGAGAGTTGATATATGCTCCTTTATTTGCTGTGCTGTGAAATTTTCTATTAAGGCCACACCTCTTTGTTTTTTACTCTCAAACTTTGTTTCCGTTTTGTTGAAGTGATCTCTTTCATCATCTGCATTATCAGTACCATTTACGAAGTCGGTATCCTCTTTTTTATTATTCCCAACTACATCAGTTTCTCCTACTTCATAACTAACGGTAACTGCCTCTGGAGTACCAGGAAAACGCTCTGTAGCCGATATAGGAAAACTATCTACTACATCCTTGTCCATCACTTCAGCACTTGAAGAATCTTCCATAAGCATTGATAGCCATTCGGTGTTCACCTCCTCTGAATCCTCACCAATCTCTTTATCACCTGTGGACTTCTCTATAAACTTTGGTAACGGTTCGGTGTTCATCTCCATAATCTCAGAATTAGAAGATTCAAGAAACTCTGGCGACTGCACCAAGGGTGGAAGGTTGGTAAAACTTTGTTGAACCTTCAATGGAGCCATTGCACAAAACATACCACCATAAGGCAAACAGGAAGAAGTAGGATTTTCCAGCTTCAAACGCTTTGGCAAAGGTTCAATGACTTCTGAACTACCACATATGGGTTGACCAGAATCTCCTTTACCCGAAAATCTTAGAAGACTTCTTTTTACATGTTCAATATCAGGATAAAATCTATAGGCGAAATGGAGCTGGGGAAGATGACCATGAGTTGCAGCCTGTTCATTTATGGGATAGAAAGATTGATTTTTTCCAGTGAAAGGGAGCCGAGGAAGATGACCATGAGACACAGCTTGTTCGTTTACGGAACGGAAATATTGATTTCGTCCACCGAAAGGAAGCCGATGAAGATGACCACGAGACACAGCTTTTTTTTTTTTTTACGGGAAAGAAAGGCTGATTGTTTCCGGTGAAATGACATCTAGATTCAGCTTCTAATGGTCTTGAACCTGCAAGTTCGGAACATTAGTCGAAGCGGTCATCGATCCCAAGCCAAGCCGTACTTTAGCAACAGTTGGACAAACCATCATGCTCCCAACATGCACCATAGCCAAGTTGGAGAACTCCTCAATCCTGTTGGAAGCGTAGATGGGCTCACGATAATTTATAACACTCCGAAATTTTTATTGATACGAAACAAAATATTTTACAACGACACTCTCAATATTACAATACTGCAATACTAGCTGCGACTAGTTTACAAACACAACCTCACTCTTTTAAGGCTTTGCTAAGCTTCACAATCTATCTCTCATTTTTTTTCTCACTTTCTCTCGTATATTTTCCTCACTTGTATTACATACATCCTAAACTAGGCTAGAGCACATATATATAGGATCAATTAACCGACTTATTTTTAAGCTCTGGGTGCTTCTCAATTTTTCCATTATTGCCACCATATTTGTTGCAACCTTATCCTTTTAAGGGACCACCTTAATATGCTTAATAATTAAGAAATTCAAGAGGCTTCTAGCTTTTGTCATCTTGCCGTCATATTGTTGCACTTCTAGCCATCTTTCTTGACTTTTCAAGTTTGATTTTTAACACTCCCCCTCAAACTTGATTTTTCATTCCGAGCTTTTCTTTGAGTCGGTTGAATATATCTGCTATTAATGGCTTTGTGAAAATGTCTGCTATTTGATCTTCAGTTCTACAGTAAATTAGCTCCACATTTGTTTTCTTCACCTGCTCTCGTATAAAGTGATATTTTGTATCAATATGCTTGCTTCGGCTATGAGAGACTGGATTCTTAGCAAGGGAAATTGTAGACTTGTTGTCGACATAGATTGTAGTTGGTTCTTCTTGCACCAAATTTAGCTCGTTCAAAATATTCCTTAACCACATTGCTTGGCAAGTGCACGCTGCTGCGGCTATGTATTCTGCTTCACATGTTGAAAGAGCTACCGTTTGTTGCTTCTTTGATGACCATGAAAATACTGCAGAGCCGATATGAAAGAGATATCCAGTTGTGCTTTTCCGATCGTCTAAGTCTCCCCCATAATCACTATCAGAATAACCAACCAGCTTCGAATTTTCTGAATGCGTGTAGAATAAACCATGACCTGTTGTACCTTTGACATATCTGAGGATTCTTTTTGCTACAATCCAATGATCTTGTTTTGGATTCTCCATGAATCTGCTTACCAATCCCACAGCGTATGTTATGTCTGGTCGTGTGATAGTTAGATACCTTAGACTTCCAACTATGCTTTTGAACAATGTCGGATTCACTTGCTCTCTTGTTGAATTAACACTTAATTTGACTCCTGGTTCTGCTGGAGTGGCTACCGTCTTGCAATCTTCCATTCTGAATTTTCTTAAAATTTCTTCTGCATACTTCTTTTGTGATATAAATATTCCTTCTTGCATTTGCTTCACTTCAACTCCAAGGAAGTATGACATTTCTCCAATATCTGTCATTTCAAATTCTTTAGTCATAGCTTTCTTAAAATCATTGAACATACCTGGATTATTTCCTGTGAAAATCATGTCGTCCACATATAAGCACACGATCATGATATCACCGTCTTCATTTTTCTTTGTGTATAAGGCATGCTCGTATGGACTCTTCATGAACCCATTTCTCTGGAAATATTCATCAATCCTCGTGTTCCATGCTCTCGGGGCTTGCTTCAAACCATATAGAGCTTTCTTCAATCGGTAAACTTTGTCTTCATGTCCCTTTTTAATGTATCCAGGTGGTTGCTCAATATAAACTTCTTCTTCTAGGTAGCCATTTAGAAATGCTGACTTCACATCCATTTGATAAATTTTCCATCCTTTTTGTGCTGCGACTGCTGTGAGAAGTCTGATGGTCTCGATCCTTGCTACTGGAGCAAATACTTCATCATAGTCTATTCCTTGTCTTTGTTTATAGCCTTTGACAACTAGCCTCGATTTGTACTTCTCAACATTTCCTTCTTTATTGATCTTTGTCTTGTAAACCCATTTTACTCCAATTGGGTTATGGCCTTCTGGTTGTCTTGTTAGCTCCCAAGTATCATTTCTTTCTATTGATGCAATTTCTTCATCCATTGCATTCCTCCATTTGTCATCTTCAACCGCTTCTTCGTATGTTATTCACTGTTCACAAGCAAGCAGAAAAGTGAAACATTATTTAGTTCATAATCGTTGTACCTTTCTGGCATTCTTCTCTCTCTTGTGGATCTTCGAAGTTCTGTGGGAGGTGCTTCACGATCTTCTATTATGTTGCTGGCATCGCTGCTGCTGCTTGACGACGATGGTAGATTTTGTCGAGGATCTTGATCATCATCTTGTTCATCTTGATTGATAAGATCACCATCTTTATCTTCAAAAAATAGTCCTTCAACTTTCTTTTCCTCTTCGCTCCATCTCCAATAGTCTGCTTCATCGAACTCGACATCTCTTGAAATTATTATCTTCTTTGTAAGAGGATTATATAATCTGTAAGCTTTGCTTCTTTCATCATAGCCAATGAAAATACATTTTTTCTCCTCTGTCATCAAGCTTCTTTCTAGTCTGTTCTGGAACGTGGGCATATGCGATGCATCCAAAAATCTTGAGGTGTCCAACTCCTGGTTTCTGTCCACTCCATGCTTCGTTTGGCGTCATATACTTCACGCTTTTTGTTGGACATCGGTTCAATAGGTAAACTGCACATCGAACTGCTTCAGCCCAGAAATTTCTCGGTAGTTGTTTGCCTTTTATCATGCTTCTCGCCATGTCCAGGATTGTGCGATTCTTTCTTTCTGCAACTCCATTTTGTTGTGGCGTGTATCTGGCTGTCAGCTGATGGATGATGCCATGCTCTTTGCAGAATTCTTCAAATAACTTTGATGTATATTCGCCTCCTCTATCTGATCTGAGTATCTTCAAATATTGACCGCTTTGTTTTTCCGACATTGCTTTGAATTCTCTCAATTTTTCCAGCGCTTCTGACTTTTCTTTCAAGATATAAATCCAACATTTTCTACTAAAATCATCAATGAAAGTTAGGTAGTACCTGTTACCGCCAAGTGATGGTATGTCAAAAGGACCGGCTATATCTGTGTGTACTATCTCCAGTGGTCTTCGGGCACGCCAGGATCTACCAACTTCAAAGCTTTGTCTATGTTGCTTCCCTTTTATGCAAGCCTCACATAATTGATTTGGAGGGTTGATCTCTGGTAGTCCTTTCACCATGCTTGTTTTTGACAACAGCTTCAATCCAGAAAATCCAAGATGTCCATATCTTAGATGCCATAGCCATGAATCATCTTTGATCGCGATCTTTATGCACATTACTTCTCCTGACTCGATATCAATTGTAAAGAGACGATTTCGAGTCATATCAGCTTGGGCTATCAATTCTCCTTCTTTATTTTGATGGCGAGCGAGCGATTCTTCATCTGCACTTCATATCCTTTTTCCAGGAGTTGACCAAGACTGATGATATTGCTTTTCAAAGCAGGTACATAATAAACATCTGAAATATATTTCTTTCTCCATTTTTCTGAGTAATCATGACTTGCCTTTCCTTTTATTTCTGCGTGCGAGTCATCTCCGAACATTACTCGTCCATGAACTGTTTCATCTAATTTCACAAACAGTTCCCTTTGACCACACATATGGTTACTGGCACAATTATCAAGATACCAAATATTTTTCTTGAATTCTTCATTTCCTTTATAAGTGAGGAATACGTGAGATTTTTCAATTTTTTCTTCTTCAGCTGCTGCTACGTTATTTCTTTCTTCTTGTTTAGGAGCATATCTACACTCATAACTATAATGACCATACTTATTGCAATTATAACATTGTACCTGGAATTTACTTCCTTGTTGATATCTGCCCCTACCTCGGCCTCTGAATCCTCGTCCACGACCTGATGTTGGATTGCTTTCACTCATTTGATCGGTGCTATATGATCGACCACCACGTCCACGAGTTCCTCGTCCTCCTCTATATCTTCCACGATAACCACCACGATTTCCTCGTCCTTGTGTGTAGCTGTTGCTAGCTTTTCCTTCGTTGACATTCATCTTGCTTTGTAGAGCTTGCTCCAAATTTTCAGAATCCTCATTTTGTTTCATTTTCTGCTCATGGGCTTGAAGTGAACCCACAAGCTCATCAATCGATATCTGAGATAAATCTTTTGATTCTTCGATTGCCACCACCACGTAATCGAATTTTCTTGTTAATGACCGCAAAATTTTTTCCATCACTCTAACATCATCGAGTGATTCACCATTTCTTTTCATTTCATTTACGACCGTTTTCACACGGCTAATATAATCATCGATGTTTTCTGTATTTTTCATTTTTAGCATCTCAAACTCAGCACGGAGAGTTTGTAAGCGTACCTTCTTTGCTTTTTCGACACCTTGTAGAGATTTTTGCAAAATCTCCCACGCTTGTTTTGCGGTCTTTGCATCAGAAATTTTTTCAAAGGTAGATTCGTCTACTCCTTGAAAAATAAAGAACAATGCTTTTTTATCTTTTCTTCGGGATTCCTTCAATACCTTCTTTTCTTCATTGGCCAAGGCTGCTTCTGCTGCTGCATTTTCAGGCTCGGTGTAACCATCCTCGATGATATCCCAACAATCTTGGGACCCTAGTAACGCCTTCATTTGAATGCTCCAATTGCCATAATTTGTCTTTGTCAATCTCGGGATTTGAGGTTGAATCATGTTGGTCATCTTCTCCACCACGTTGAACTCGAACCTAGCTCTGAGGCCACTTGTTGGAAGCGTAGATGGGCTCACGATAATTTATAACACTCCGAAATTTTTATTGATACGAAACAAAATATTTTACAACGACACTCTCAATATTACAATACTGCAATACTAGCTGCGACTAGTTTACAAACACAACCTCACTCTTTTAAGGCTTTGCTAAGCTTCACAATCTATCTCTCATTTTTTTCTCACTTTCTCTCGTATATTTTCCTCACTTGTATTACATACATCCTAAACTAGGCTAGAGCACATATATATAGGATCAATTAACCGACTTATTTTTAAGCTCTGGGTGCTTCTCAATTTTTCCATTATTGCCACCATATTTGTTGCAACCTTATCCTTTTAAGGGACCACCTTAATATGCTTAATAATTAAGAAATTCAAGAGGCTTCTAGCTTTTGTCATCTTGCCGTCATATTGTTGCACTTCTAGCCATCTTTCTTGACTTTTCAAGTTTGATTTTTAACAAATCCAGTCAGAATTCTACACAAACATTATTATCAAAGTATGAGATATTCAATCTATCAATTTCAGATTATCACAAACAAAACCTAATTGGTTATTAAAAAAATCTAGATTACAGTTAACAACTTTGTAAAGAAGACAATTCGATTATCGGTAATTCAAAATTAATTGATACAATGAGACCAAACCGACACAACATGGAAACCCAATCGAAACTGATAATCAGCGTTACAAAACCTTACCTCCGCCAAACAGCTACACTTTTGAAAAAGACTCTCCTTGTCGGCGAAGTAAACAGAGAGAGTGAAACGAAGAGAGCAACTAAGAACGGTATCGAAAAACAGAAAATCGAGTACAGCAAGAATGATAATCGCAAAATCTCAATACTAAAGCATACATCGTTGCGTTAAGTTCAGGGTTTCAGGTGTTACCTTGTTTAATCTCCCGCTATATTAGAAACTTGGAACGCAAGAAAGAGGCCGAGACGAAGAGAAAGAGGATTTTGGCGTTTGTATCTCTTTAAATTACCCTTAAACACTATATATACATACCTAATCATGGATTTAAATTTACCGACCTAAATTTTTTTATTAGTTTTGTATTTATTATTCATGATGAATTTTTTGAAAAAAAAAGTTTTATTTATCGCAATCTATTTAATCTTCGGTTAATTATAAATAAGAAATAATTTCATATAAATAAAATAAAATTTTATGTTTATTTACACTACATTCATTTTCCTTATTCACCATAATTAACTTTCATATATTACTTAAAATCTAATTAATTTTTAAATATATTTAAAAAAAACATCTTAAATTACTTACAATGATTGGACAGAATAAGAGACTTATTTCAAAAACTGTGTGATAAGATAAAGTCTTCGTTTTTTTTAAAAGACAATAAAGAATTTTTTTATTAAGGGATTGTGTTTATGTGGTTCGATGCCATTGTTTTTTTTTAAAAAAAGTTTAATTAGTTGACTTATGATTAAAATTGGACAAAACTAGAAAAATATTGAGGTCGAAAAAAAAGAATTAGAGAATTACGAGCAGTGAAAAATTATTTAGAGATTTAAGATAGTCGTATAAAATATATTATTTTATTAAAACTCGTCATGCGAACATGAAGAGTTATATAGACAAGATCCATAAAATGTTATTGGCGATTATCTATACTAATTATTATCTAGAAATCAAATTGATAGCTATAGTTTCATGTATTAGATGATGCACTCAAAAGTCTGTACGATTACTCAATCACGTTATACTTAAAAAGCATGATCGTTCATATTTTCATTGCGATGTTGGGCATACAAAATTACAAATTAAAATAACGACCATTTAGCATCAAATTAGTTTATTTTTTATCGTGATGTATTTCATGTTTTGCTTTTTTGCATCAATTTTAATCATTTACGTGTTATTAAATAATAATAAAAAAATAAAATTTATGATAATTATTTATCTGCAATTGTGTATTATTTATACACACCGTGGCATATTTAACCACAGAGATGGACGCAAGATTTTATATCAGGAGGCGAACTTGATCTTATAAAATTTTAGGGGACAAACAGGAACTTATAAAATTTCAAGGGACGGAAACATGTTTTCAATAAAAAATATATAAAAATCTAATAATATATATATAAGATAAATTTAAATTTTCAAAGGCAATTGCCGCCACCCACCCGTAGTCCATCTCTTTGTAAGCATATTATCAAAGCACGTGTGATAATGACAACTTTCTTGCTATCCAAACAGTACTTTCTTCATCAACAGATTCATTCATCTTCGGAGGTTGCAGTCAACCACGATACACACCCAACTCACCTTTCCAATACAACATTAACTCGCTACTCACTTCTCTCCTCAACTCAGCCACTTACTCCTAAAACAGCTACACCATCAAGGGCTCTGGTCCTCAAGACGTCGTCTACGGCCTTTACCAATGCCGCAACGACCTCTCCATGCCCGACTGCGCCTCCAGCGTCACCCATGCTGTGACCAAAGTCGACTCTTATTACCCCCACAGCATGCGGTGGCTTGTTGTAGCTGCAGGCCTTCTACATCAAGTACGGCAATGCTATGTTCCTCGGGGTTAAAGACAAGAACGTGGTGTACAAAAAGTGCGGGCCGCCAGTGCAGTACGACAAGTAGGAGGAGATCATCGTGCGCTGCGATGCGGTGAGGAGTGGCTCCAGGAATATTTGCTAGTAAAGGGCTTCTTATCATCGTTATTTTTCAGGGACCGTACTAAAAACAAATTGAAAGTTCAACGCCTGTATTGCAAATTTTAAAAATTGAGTGACCAAAATACAAACATCCTATAAGTTTGAGGGACTATTTTCGTACTTTAAACTTAATTTTATTATCTGATTCAAAAAAGCCCTTCTACTTTTTTTAATACCTAAATAAGCCATATCCTTCGATTTCAAATGAAACATTGATTTATGCTAACTGTTTATTTTCATATAAATTCAACAAGCCCTTGTACTCTGTGTTTTGGAAATAATGTTGACGACTATCATTGGTCTTAGAAACTTCATATTTTACATATATCAATGGCTATAAACTAGAATTAATAAATAAGGTGTCAATTTTTTGTATTACTTTTTTTTAATAATTTATAACATTTAATAACTATTTTAAAAAATTGAAAGTAGAAGATGCAATTACTAGCCATATATACCTAACAATTGCTTCCCGGCTGATGAATCCATTGTGGGATACTTGGAATCCTGTTCCAATGGTATATTTCAAAACCCTAAAGTAAACAGCCTAATTCAACGCTCAAGCCTTACTATTTATGATTACCATCAAAATGGAAGTCACAAGTTTCTTGAACTTTTCGTTTTTCTTGAAATCGTCGTGTCCGACACACATATCTAACACATTTCCAGACAAGAGTATGGGAGCATGATCTTCAAAATACACTAAAGAAGATTAATGCCCCTAAATATGCATTAATCGATAGTTCCAATGCTATATACAACACACTTCTTTGGAGCTAGGCCTAAGTTCTTTCGAGCAGTTCACGAAAAACTCATTTCGATCACACAAAACCATAAATTGAAGGAAATTCGATGAAAAATCTTACCAGAATTTCAACTTGTACACATGTGTGCTTGGTCCTTCCTTCACCTGCAAGGATACAAAGCAGGAGAGGCATCGGAGCCACTGCTTATTCGGCAGTTCTCGAGTGCTTGATCAGCCAGTCAATGACGACATCCAGATTTACGGAATCTTTGCATGAAATCATGTAGCAGCACACCTCTCTATCACTGATTGATCCGAGACCTCTATGAAACAAATATCAAACAAAAATAATAACACGTTTTTAGATTCGTAAAGAACAGAGAAACGAGTTTTCTCGAGGTAAATCATCCAAGAAGAGAAACAAATATGACTTAATGTAAAGCTTCTAAAACTTACAGCTGATCCACCAAAGCTTGCTTCGAAAGAGCTTCTGACTTATCGATTTTGTTACCAAGAACAAGTAAAGGAATTCCACTCAAGGAAGGTTTTGTCAAGAGGTCGTGTAACTCGGTTCGGGATATTGGAACACTGTCTCTATCAGCAGCATCAACTACATATCTGCCATTATTATGTGAAGGATTAAGTATATAAAAAAAGATGCTAATGATATGATATGACATGACAGTTCTCACAAGAAGATCATCTTAACCAGTAAATGAAGATGATTAAAGCTAAACGATATACTGTAAACATAATAGAGTACGAAAGAGAAAACCTTACACGATAGCGGAGACCCCACGACAGTAACGTTCCCACATGGTACGGAACCTCCGTTGCCCTCCAAGATCCCATAGTTTTATCGTCACGTTTCCCTTTGTAACTTTTTTCATGTTAAATCCAACCTGGATTCCACATTCGATGATTTTCTTTTAAGATATCATCAGGGAGAATCATTATATCTGATTTGTCCAAATAAAAGGTACCTACGGTGGGAATCATGTCTTCACTATAGCCCCCTGTCTGGTAAACAAAACAAAATTAAACATAAGACAGTCATTAACAATGCTTATATGTATGAGCAGGAAAAAGATTGCGTTACTCACAGCAATGGAATTAACAAGAGATGTTTTTCCGGCATTCTGAAGACCAACAAGGGATAGTTCCATTTCCTGCTTGAAGAATAAGCTGCAATGTAGATACTCAGAAATAAGCACAGAAGTGCTTAAAAACATATCTTCACACTAACTATTACCTCAGGTTCTCCGAACAAACTATACAACGAAACTTGGTGTCTATGATGATTTTACAAATTGACTACCTGGATGGAAGAAGCAAGCTAGATCGAACAACCTATTCCAGGACAACGGTAATCGAATGACCAAAACTAGAATAATACACGACTATTAAGACCCAGAGAAATAACGCAAAACCAGTTTGGTACAATATTGGTTTAAAGTTACCGCTAACATCACTACACGATATTTCCGAAAGAACCGCTCTTTAGGGTCTAGTCGAACCGAATTTCAATAACATGACCAAAACGAAATCAATTTAACTAAGAAACCTACTACATTGCCTCTCTTTGACAAAAGAGTATACACCATTACACCTCTAAAACAATGAAAACGCAGAATCTCAAAGAACAGATGAACTCATGCCAATTATACCTTCAACAGTATTAGAAAAGAGAGATCAAACATTGAACATATTTCCCACTATTATCATTTTGAACAAAGGATATATTTGAAAAGATCCATATGAATACTGAACATTTTGCAGCATTTTTTTGCAAATCTAGAATCAAATCTCAAGTCCAAGCAAGAAATGTGAAGCTAATTAAAATTCCACTATTTCCCCAGCAGCCAGCCGCAGCAAAACACAATTAAAACCCAGTCTTGCATAGTCTTACAGAGTTAATATCAAAATCAAACCGTAATAAAACCGTAATAGTTTATAGAAGATTCAACAATTTCCCCAATCTCTTAATATTGTATGGGAGAATTACCTGCGGAGCCAATTGAGAAGTGAATCCCACAAACCCATTTTGAGAAAACTGCAGAGCCGAGAGAGTACAGGGAAAAGATAGCTAAAGGAAACTTCAGTCCCTCGGTTTTCCCTTGTTTTCTTGTCCTTTGTAAACAAAATATTACGTGTGGATGTGGTTTCTCTTATTAATCAACAATGAATTGACACCGACATTATTTTGGGTTGACTTAATACGCACTGAAACTTCACTTCAAAAAATGTTTTCAAAAAATGTTTTACCTTGAAAATAGATGTTTTAATGTATTTTTTATTATTTTAAGTGTTCAAACGTTAAATATTATTAAAAATCTCTGTTAAATGAAACGTGCTATTTTATAATAATTTTATTTTTTTTTAGATATTTTATATTAAAAAAATAAAACACTGCCCTCCCCTTTTCCCTCCCATCCTTTTCTCCCTTATGTCCCTCCCTATCACGGACAAAGATCGCTTGCCACGGCCGACCAAACGACAAACAACTGATCATCACATCCGATCAAACGACAACAACAGACCACCACATCTGACCAAACGGTCGATTATCACTATCGATCTAAGAGATTTTTATAGTTTCAAAACCCTAAAACAAATATTTTCAATTACACTATTTTTGGGGTGTTCTATTGGTTGCGAAATATGGGACTTTTGGTTGTGGTTGGTTGGCATGCCACACGCAGTTAGGTGTTCGGTTAATTGTATGTGTTGGTGGTGATCGGCTATGGAAAATGGATTAAAATTAAAGTTTTAAAACTTTGGGGTTCTTTTTATGATTTAAAAAAATATTTTTTAAATAAACATATATTTTTATTTATTATTTTAAATAAAATTTTTAAAATTATCATAATATGACACGTGTCACTTAATGACCAAATTTAATGACGATTGACATCTAGACACTTAAAAGTATAACAGAGAAAAAGTTAAGCACCTATTTTTAAAAAAAAAAAAAAAAAATTGGGATTCTGTTATGGGTCTCTGCAGGTTGAAGTGTGAGGCTTTCACTTGGGATGTGGTATTGAATTGGGCTATATTAGGAGAATTTTTGGTGGTGTGTCTAAGGAGGTGGACGGTGTCTTGACTTCTATAGAGGAGACTGTCCGTTCCAAGCTTCATGGGGTTCGGTTTGATAGCAATGTATATAGGGTTTTGTGTACAGCTTGGGGTTTGAATTGATTATATTATCGTCTTTTTGTTAGATGCTCTTGTTTTTTTAGCAGCTTGTGGTTTTTTTATATAATACATACATTTTATTCAAAAAAAATATTAATTACGAATAATTTTATAAATCTAAAATAGTTTAGGGATAAAATATAATCTTCATTTTTTATATATGTTTTCTTCTCAAACTCTATCTTTCGTCCCCGCATATCTCTATTGCTATTTATCTTCTCCGTCACCAATCACCTAACGGATACGGAGAAACTCTGACAAACCGATCTTAAGCGACAACCCTAATTTACACCTTTGAGTTAACAAATAGTGTTCTTTCATACTTGGAACAGCTACAATCATCACAAGGAACTTAAATCTTTGTCCGAGTTTCTAACAAATGTAGAAAGTGTGAGCATAAATAATTGTGCTTCTCTGGAACAAGTTGCGATTCCATCAAAAGCATGTAGTTCAACTGGTTATGCCCGGTGCTCACTGCTACAGATTGCTTGAGAATGTCAATGCATTAACATTGCTGAAAAAGAGTATTAAGGTTGGTTCAATATCTGTGTTTCTCTTACAAAATCTCGTACTTGATTATCTAGTTTTTGTTACTATTGCTAACCAACAAGAGTTGTGTTCTGGAAGGTATATTCAAATTCAAGAGATATTTAGCATTATCATACCTGGAAATGAAAATCCCAGAAGGGTTCAGCCATGAGAGAGTTGACTGTTCAATCAAGATACCACTGCCATCTCTGCAAACAATGAGCTACCAGTTTTAACAAAATGAATTGACGGAAAACGGGGAAAAAGAGAGAGCGGGATAGTCTGTGCGCGACCACCCCAGCTAGACTAGGAAGGCTGAGAACGAACCTCTGCCCCCATTAATCACGCTCTGGTCGCACAGCCTCGGTTCATCAACCAGACTTAGAATCCTGTCTCCTTAGAACTCAAGGATACAAAGGTACGAGCCTATAGAACAGACTCTGTTCAAGTAAGGTCCTTTTGCCTCTCGATTCTAAGTTCAATACCACACGCTTTGTTCTTTCCTCCTTGGTGTGGGATTTGTTCAGCTTTTGACAAAACAGTCGATATTTTAACCTACATGTAGAGCCGGGTATATGGGCTAAGGGCCACAGGCAGCCGTGCGGGTTTCGGACCTAAAAAAATAAAGCTCGTTTAAATTGCGAGTTTTATAGTTCGGACTGTTAAACTTGTAGATTTAATGGGTATACCCGTGGGCGCCGCAGGTAGCCCACTTAATTTAATTATTATTTTTAATTTATTTTATGTTTTACGGAATATAATTCACGTTTAGCCCAATTCACGTTTTATGTGCATTTTAACCATAGTCCAATTCACGTTTTATGTGCAGTGAAGTCTGAAGGTCAATTCACGTTTTAATTTAATGATATGCAATTTTAAAGTATGAAGCCCAAATGTTCACAACCCCATTCACATTTTGAAATCCTATGAATAAACGTTCCCAATTCACACTGAAACAAGCAATTGAAGCAAGCCCCCAAATCCAGTTCACACTTTCAATTTCTTTTTACTTTCATTTACTTATTTCAAATTTTCAATTATTTGTTGGTTGTTTCTTTTAATCTAACTTTTAATTTTGTGTAAATGATGTAGGGCTTCACTATGGGTAGAATTTATGTTTTTAGATCCAATTACGACTCTGCAATCAGATACAATATTAATATATAAATTTAGTCCTTCAAAATTTTTAAAACTTTTAATTTAAATCTCTAAGTTTTTAAAGTTTTAAGTTGATCCCAAATTCTATCGTATTGATCATGAGTTTGAGCAGTTGCGTCTCCACGTGTGTTGTTAATGGTTAAGAAATGTTTTAAACGGACATTAGCCTTGTAATCATTCTCAAAGTATTCAAAAAATAATAAAAATATAAGGGTAAAAATATTTTAAGTCCTTTTTAATTTTAAAATTTAATTGAATCCACTCTATCTTTATATAATTTTGATTAAAAATGATAAATTTAATCGTCAACAGTTTCCGTAATGTGCAAATTGTATGTTGAATATTAGCTTTAATGATTAAATTAATTACTATATTAATTTGACAAAAAATATCATATATGTTGTTATTTATCTTTAATTACTCATTCTAAATTTTGACAAAAGATTAAATTACTTTTTTAGAGGGACCAAGGTTTTTCAATATCACAGTTTATATATTCAAAAATATTAGTTTGTCACGAACTAAATAATTTCGGTAATAAAGAAATTATTGTTATTATTTGAAATTTGGAGTCCGAACACTATAAATATCAAGAATTTAAACATTTAATATCAAATGATTGAAAATTATTTTTAAACCGTAATTATTTTATAGTTACCCGAGATAATAAAAAAATATTAATTTATATTGGCACAGTTTCCGGCAGTGCAAATAATAATGCAAATGACAACCAAATCTAGATCGTGGCGCACTGCTACTCCCAGCAAATGATATAGTATAATACATTCCCCATCATAAAATGACACTGTCACGCCCACCAAATTGAGAATCAAATTTTCATTTTATTTATTTGTTTTTTTAATGATTATTACTACCATCCATCAGTCAGTCAATTTATCTATTGTAAACTGTATAGGGATATGGTATATTCCAAAAATATTTAGGCAAACGGCACTGTTTAACGTGCATGACCTTGTGATCTTTGTTTTCGGCTCTATCCCACTTGGCAACCTACGTGTGGCCTAAACGGATGCTCACTTCCAGACTCTCACCACTCATCTCCATTTCCTTTGCTTGAATAGACCACAATTTTTATAATATTTTATATTGTAATCAAAAAAATTATATTATCAATAACTAGAATTTATAATCAAAAGTGTTATAAAGAATATAATATTTTTTTATTTTAATATTACTCTGTCAACTTAAAAAGTTAACGTTCTTTATTTTTTTTAACCTAACAAGTTTGTGTTTTAGAATATCCGACTACGCAGTTTCATGAATAATCGAGAGATGCAATTAAGAAGCACGTGGTTTGGCGCAAATATGTGAAAGAAGAACTAATTAGTGATGGATCCCTAGAGCTCAATGGTGCTGAGATTTTGGTAAAGGTTGAAGTTGTTGCTTAATTTTGTAATATGGTTCGTAAATATTGATGGAGATGAGCTGGTGTGGGCAATGGAGCTTTGATGTTGCCATGGTAGCTGTAGGGATGGGCATGGGATCCAAACCTGACGGGTATCGGCCTGATCGGATAAGGTTTTAAAAAAATTAGGTTCGAGTAGGTCAAGTTTTTTAAGGCTGATGTTCGGGTCAAATAATGATTTAGGATGAAAAAACCCAACCCAATAAATATATAATTTTACCTTATATATTTAAATATAATTACAATAATATTTTTATTGAAAAAAATTGTTTCAGGTCGGTTAGAAGTGTAAATTTTTCGGGTCGAATCAGGTCGGATGTAAAGTGTAAAACTTTTGGAATGGCCAAAACCCGTCCCATAACCATCCCTAACCAGCTATCGACTTTGCGTTTGCTATGAAAATTTGCATGAAAGAGCCGTACAATGATCTTAGTTTTCCCCAAGCCATTTCTACACCTTGTTTGACACCATTTGCCTAGAGACGTATTTTACATAAATATGTTGAATTTATTTAAATTTAATATCGTATCATATTTAAACAGTAGTGAAAACAATTTTGATCTCGAGATATTAGGTTCAAAGAGCAACATTGACAAACTATGTCCGTTGTCAATAAATTAAAAAAATTCTGAACGAATGCTATACTGTAATCACTCGTACCATCAAAAGAAGAAGAGCTGTATTTCAAACCATTGAACCACATGAAATGAAGCACTTGAAAACTTTTACAAATGCGTCAGACAAGGATTGTATGCATAAACAAGATTCAAACACGCAATTCTCAGAAGAATACTCAAAACAGCCAAAAACTAACACAGATAAAACTCAAAACAACAGCTACCGTCAAAGCTTAATGCATTAAACGAGTAATGTAAACCAAAACAGGAACTGAAAGGATCTTTCTAATCAAACAAACCGAATCCCAAATCATCATCGCTCTCCTCCTCCGGTTCTTCCTGCAAAATCACCAAAAATAAATCACATATCAGAATAAATGGTGACAAATGAAATGCATATTCTTATTCATTTGCGATTCATCTTCCAACCTTCTTCTTTTCCTCAGCAGGAGCAGGAGCAGAAGCACCACCACCGGCTGCGGCAACGGGTGCAGCGGCAGCGACCGGAGCACCGCCGCCACCAGCACCAACATTCGTTATGAGATTCTCAATATCACACTTCTCGAAAAGCTTAGCGAACAAACTCGGCCAGTATGATTCAACCGAAACATTTGCAGCTTTAACTAAAGTTGCAATCTTCTCAGCCTATTATCGAAAGTTAAAGAAAAACTAGCAAAAAATCCAACTTCTCATAGCTACGGGCAAGTAATCATTTCAATAACAATAATCAAAATCCAAATCGATATGAAACTAAATTTCAAATCACAAATCGTGGAATCATAAAAACATAAGAAGATGCATATAGGATACGGTAATGGGGATGCCATCGTCATGGAGAATCAATGCAGCGTAAGAGCAAGCAGCTTCACTAGCCGAAGACATCGTTTCAACTTTCAACTGCTAATCAAAACCCAGTCTGTATAAGATTTAGCAAAAACATCGGCATCATACGTGAAACCAAAACCGTAGGAAATCTCGGAATGTACATGGGTTACCTGAGAGAGAGAGAATCTAGGAATGGGCAGAATCTGAGCAGCCGCTCTTCGAAATTCAGGGCAAAGTGTTTACAAGGGTTTCTCTTCAGCGCTGAAAATGGGATTTTAAAGACAGAAAACAAAGTGTTAATTGGGCTCTAACTATTTTTAGGCCCATTCAACAAAAGTGAGGCTTTTATTCTATTTGATTTTTGGGCCCAAATAATTTCTTTTCTAAATAAAATTATTCATTTTTATAAACAAATGGGTTAACTACATGGATGGTAACTTATCTTTAAGTTTTATCCTTTTTTGGTCACTTATTTAAAAATATATAAGATATGATCACTTTTGTTTCCATTTAATTAAGATATAATCACTTTGAGCTAATTATTGTTAACAATAGTTAAATATTTTTAATATATTCATAGATTTGGTCCCTGTTGTTTACATATTTTCTCAATTTAGTCATACTTTTAATAAACTAAAATAAATTATATATTTTTAAATGAAAATAAAATAAATATTTTAAAATTAATTAATAATAAAATATATTTAATAAATTGACATAAAATATTTTAAGTTAATATATATAAAATTATATTACATATAAATCGGGTCATGGGTACCCAGTCCATAATTTTTTTTACTTTTTTCTTTAAATTATATTATTTTTAAAATATATATATAAAAATTCTAAATTGAAAATTTAAAATTCTGTAATATATATAATACACACATAAAAATTAAAAATTTAAATTACATAATTGAAATAAAATTTATTAAAATTTAAAATAAAGAATTATAATTAAATTTCAAATGTTTTAAAGTTAAAATAAATATTTTAAAAAATAATTTAGAATGTTAATGTGAAATAATTTAAGAAATTAAGAATTTAGAATATTATGGTGTCAAATTTAATAAATTAGGATTTCAGAGTGTTATAGTGAAATAGTTTGAGGATTATGAGTAAAAAGGTAATATAAAATAAAAAGTATATAATAAATCGGGTACCGGGACAGAGGGTACCTGGTAAACCAACATTTTTTAACTTATGCTCGATTGGATGATTAAATTTATTTTAATTTATTAAAAGTATGACTAAATTGAGAGAATATGTAAATAATAGATACCAAATGTGTGATTATATCAAAAACATTTAATTGTTGTTAATGACAATTAACTCGGGTGACCACATTTTAATTATATAAAAACGATAGTGATCATATCTTAATTAAATAAAAACAAAAGTGTTCATATCTTATGTTTTTTGAAATCAGTGACCAAAAGTTGACAAAACACAAAAATAAGTTACCATCCATATAATCAACCATAAACAAATCTATGGACCTTATCCCATTAGAGATACTATGGAGATTCATTACCAGACAGTTCTCTCAACATAACTTGGTTGACATTACACAAACTAAATGGAATCGGTAACTAAAACGACGATTTTTATCTCTAGAGGTTATAGGTTCGAGCATGACACCTGTATGAATGTTTTGAGTGTTCATTATCGACGATGAGGGATCTTCCGAAGAAAACCATCGTATATTAAGTGTTTGTTTTGGTGCAGGAACTTCTGAAGGAAAACGAGCTTCTATATGGGCTCGCCAACTTCCTGCAAAATATTTCCTGCCTGCCTGTCTGTCTACTCTCCTGCCACTCACGGATGGCATCAACATGCATTTTCTTCACTTGATTATGTTACTCACCATCCTCACCGGCTGGTGCTGACCTATCAAACTATCATGTCATGCCTTGTACCACTGACCATAGAGGATCTCTGAATTCTGTCATGCCATGCCTTCAATTTCTGAACTCCTGATGTCTGAATGGCGAATTATGCTTTGCAATAATGTCTCAGACCCTGAAAACTTGGATTCTAACTTTTAACATGCCACCATCTTGATTTACTGCATCATTCAACGCTTCTACATCCTTATGTGCATCAACCATTCCTTCACATTCATGCAGGTGCTGTATATTTTCTTAGTTCTTGTAGGGCCTGTGATTTGGCTGATGTACCTGTAGTTGTGTGTGTTAGATTTGTCTAGAAATTAAGTTGACAAGTTGGAAATTTCATCTTGGTTAGTGGCCAACTTATTGGAAATTTCATCTTGGTTGGTGGCCAAACTTTGAACATGTGAATTTCATATTTGGTGGCTAACTTGTATACATTGGAAAATTCTTTGGTAGGTGGCCAAACTTTGAACATATTGTTCTTGAAACTCAACTATAAATAGGCCTAAGTATTTCCATTAGAAATCATCCCAAAAACAAGTTTCTCTTCCTATTGTATTCTTCATTCTCCCACTTTGGGAATTTCAAAGAATTCCATTTGTTGTAATATTGGTGATATAGTGAAGTTATCATCCGGTGTGGTGCCCGAGGAGTAGACGATATTCTCGTCGAACCTCGTAAATTTGGTGTGTTCTCTCCTTTATTGTTTTTTAGTCGGTTCTTTTCCATTATGTTTCAATATTCAATAGTTTGACAGGTTTATCCGCTGTGCAACCTTTGGTGGTTTTAATCTTGACATTTTAGGTCAATTTTAAAACTACGTTCGTATGGGAAATAACCCGTTTTCCCCAACAATTGGTATCAAAGCTTCGGTTGAGGTTATCCTGGTGGTTCCGTTGCTGAAAAGATATAGTTCGTGATATTGAATATTGTTCGTTAGAATTAAGATTCCAAAATACGGATCAGTTGAGACATCAAGCTCTTCATCTGGACCGGTGAGGAGGGTAATGTCAAATGCAAATTTCTCGGTGGAGTTGTTCGATGGATCCGATCATTTTGGCATGTGGCAAGGCGAGGTGTTAGACGCTTTATTCCAACAAGGTCTAGACATCACCATTGAGGAAGAAAAGCCCGAATATATGGAGGAGAAAGAATAGGGAACAATCAATCGTTTGGCGTGCAGCACGATTCGATCTTGTCTTTCCAGGGAGCAGAAGTATGGCTACAAGAACGAGACTTCTGCAAGTAAGATGTGGAAAGCTTTGGAGGAAAAATTCCTGAAGAAAAGCTCTCAGAATTGTCTCCACATGAAGAAAAGATTGTTCAGATTTGATTATCAACCAGGCACCAGTATGAATGAACACATCACTGCGTTCAATGAGCTAGTGGAAGACTTATTGGGCATGGATGAAACCTTCAAAGATGAAGATTTGGCTTTGATGTTGTTTTCATCTCTTCCAGATGAATTTGAGCACCTTGAGACAACGTTACTTCATGGTAAGGATAATGTTACCCTTAAAGATGTAACTGCTGCTTTGTATAATTATGAACTCAGGAAGAAAACCAAGAAGGAGAGCAAGTACGAAGCAGCAGAGGCCATGGTGGATGAAATCGCTCGAAAAGTCAAAAGCCAAAGTGGAGAGGGAGATCAAAGTCGAAGTCCAGACTGGGAAAAGATGAATGTGCCTTTTGTCATGAGAAAGGCCATCGGAAGAAAGATTGTCCGAAGCTGAAGAAGAAAGGAAAAGCTGCTCCAGATGCATGTGTTGCAGAGCATGATGCACATGACTCTGACATATCATTGGTTGCTTCATCAACAACATTCCATTTCGATGAGTGGATATTAGATTCGGGTTGCACCTATCATATGTCCCCTAATCGGGAGTGGTTCTCCGATTTAGTGGAACTAAATGCAGGAGTTGTTTATATGGGCAATGACAATGCCTGTAAAACTGTTGGGATAAGTTCAATTCAATTGAAGAATCAAGATGGATCAACCAGAGTTCTGACGGATTTCCAATACATGCCCAGTTTGAAGAAAAATCTCATCTCGTTGGGAGCCTTAGAATCCAAAGGCTCAGTAGTCACTATGATAGATGGAGTTTTAAAAGTCACATATGGCGCACTTGTGATGATGAAGGGCATCAGAAAAAATAATTTGTATTACTACCAAGGTAGTACAATTATTGGAGCAGTTGCAGCAGCTTCCGGAGGTGATGATTTAGACGCAACCCAGTTGTGGCATATGCGGTTGGGACATGCTGGAGAGAAATCCTTGCAAATTCTGGCAAAGAAATGATTTTTGAAAGGTGCAAAGGCTTGCAAATTGAACTTTTGCGAACATTGTGTTCTGGGAAAGCAGAAGAGAGTAAAGTTTGGCACCACTATACATAATACAAAAGGTATTGTAGATTATATTCACTCAGATGTATGGGGTCCTTCAAAGACATCGTCTTTGGGAGGAAACCATTATTTTGTAACTTTTGTAGATGACTTTTCCAGAAGAGTTTGGGTGTATCCGATGAAGTCTAAAGATGAAGTGCTTCAAATTTTCCTGAAATGGAAAAATATGATCGAGAACCAGACTTGTAGAAAGATCAAACGTCTTAGAATGGACAATGGAGGGGAATATAAAAGTGACCCATTCTTTGACGTTTGCCATGAGTATGATATTGTTCGACACTTCACTGTTAGACATACACCACAACAGAATGGGGTGGCAGAGCGTATGAATCGAACACTATTGGAGAAAGTTCGATGTATGTTGTCTAATGCTAGGTTAGGCAAGGCATTTTGGGCTGAGGCTGTGACATATGCTGGCCATATCATTAATCGTCTGCCGTCATCAGCGATAGGAAGAAAAACACCATTGGAGGTATGGTCTGGAAAACCTACTACTAATTATAATTCCTTACATGTATTTGGATCCACTGCTTATTATCATGTGAAGGAATCCAAGCTTGATCCGAGAGCAAAGAAGGCTCTCTTTATGGGAATCACCCATGGAGTGAAGGGATTCTGCCTTTGGTGTTTAGACACTAAGAAGATAATTTGTAGCAGAGATGTTACCTTTGATGAATTTGCCCTAGTAAAGAAGGTAACAAGTGAAGCTGTCCAGACAAGTAGTACTTCGCAGCAGGTGGAGCATACTCCAAAACAGGTGGAGTTTCAGCAGATGATGATCCCAGAAGTTGATGCAGCTGATTCTTCAACTCCAATAGAAGAATCAGAAGATGAAGAGGTTCAAACCCAAGAACCATTGGAGATACCAGAAACACTTGCAGTTACAAGGCCAAGGAGAGAAATTCGTAGACCTGCTCGATTTGTTGATATGGTGGCCTATGCTCTTCCAGTTGTTGATGATGATATCCCTATCACTTACCAAGAAGCAATACAAAGCTTGGAAAGTGATAAGTGGAAAAGTGCCATGGATGAAGAAATGCAATCTCTCCAAAAGAACGACACTTGGAAACTGGCACAATTACCGAAAGGTAAAAGAGCCATTGGATGTAAGTGGGTATTTGTAAAGAAAGATGGATCTCATAACAAGAAATATGTTCGCTACAAGACACGGTTGGTAGCTAAAGGCTACTCTCAAAAGAAGGGAATCGACTACAATGAAGTATTTTCCCCTGTTGTGAAGCATTCCTCCATTAGAATATTGTTGGCCTTGGTAGCACAGTTGAATTTGGAGCTAGCTCAACTTGATGTAAAGACGGCTTTCTTGCACGGTGATTTAGAAGAGGAGATCTATATGACACAGCCAGAAGGATACAAAGATGGTGGTTATGAGAAATGGGTTTGTAAGTTGAACAAATCGCTATATGGATTGAAGCAATCTCCGAGGCAGTGGTACAAGCGATTTGATAGCTTTATGAGGAGGCAAAAGTATACTAGAAGCAAATATGATCATTGTGTGTATTTGCAAAAGCTCAAAGATGGATATTTCATTTATCTTCTCTTGTACGTTACCGATATGTTGATCGCTTCGAAGAGTCAAAAGGAGATAGACAAATTAAAGGCTCAGTTAAATCAAGAGTTTGAGATGAAAGATCTAGGTGAGGCCAAGAAGATTCTTGGTATGGAGATAAGCAGAGATAGACATAGAGGGAAGCTTTGTTTAACACAGAAGCAGTATCTGAGAAAGGTATTACAATGTTTTGGCATGAATGAAAATACCAAACATGTAAATATCCCATTGGCTTCTCATTTGAAACTTAGTTCTCAATTATCTCCTAAAACTAACGAAGAACGAGTGTATATGGCAAAAGTTCCATATGCTAATGCAGTTGGGAGCTTGATGTATGCAATGGTGTGTACGCGTCCTGACATTTCACAAGCAGTTGGAGTTGTGAGCAGGTACATGCATGATCCTGAAGAAGGACATTGGCAAGCTGTGAAATGGATTCTACGGTATCTCCAACAAACCATGGATGTTGGTTTAGTTTTTAAACAGGATGAAGCACTTGGTCAGTGTATGGTTTGATATGTTGATTCCGATTATGCTGGTGATTTGGATAAGCGTCGATCAACTACTGGTATTTGTTTACTCTTGCTAAAGCCCCAGTAAGTTTGAAGTCTACATTGTAATCTACGGTGGCCTTGTCTACTACAGAGGCAGAATACATGGCAGTTTCAGAGGCTGTAAAGGAAGCAATTTGGCTTAACGGGTTGATGGAAGACTTGGGAGTTGTTCAAAGTCACATTAGTCTCTATTGTGACAGTCAGAGCGCTATTCACTTAGCAAAAAATCAAGTATACCATTCAAGGACTAAGCATATCGACGTGAGGTATCACTTTGCGCGGGAGATCTTTGAAGAATGAAAGATTCTACTTCAGAAAATTGCGACATCAGAAAATCCCGCAGATATGATGACCAAGGTGGTAAGAGTAATCAAGTTCAATCATTGTTTGAACTTGATTAACATCCTGAAAGTATGAACACCTTCGGGTGTGTGGCGCTTGTGAGCGCAATTAGAGGCACTACAAATTTGGGGAGTTGAAGAAGTTGAGTAGGCTTGGTAATTTCAAGCCAAGGTGGAGATTTGTTAGATTTGTCTAGAAATTAAGTTGACAAGTTAGAAATTTCATCTTGGTTGATGGCCAACTTATTGGAAATTTCATCTTGGTTGATGGCCAAACTTTGAACATGTGAATTTCATATTTGGTGGCTAACTTGTACACATTGGAAAATTATTTGGTAGGTGGCCAAACTTTGAACATATTGTTCTTGAAACTCAACTATAAATAGGCCTAAGTATTTCCATTAGAAATCATCCCAAAAACAAGTTCCCTATTCCTCTTGTATTCTTCATTCTCCCACTTTGGGAATTTCAAAGAATTCCATTTGTTGTAATATTGGCGATATAGTGAAGTTATCATCCGGTGTGGTGCCCGAGGAGTAGACGATATTCTCGTCGAACCTCGTAAATTTGGTGTGTTCTCTTTTATTGTTTTTTATTCGGTTCTTTTTCATTGTGTTTCAATATTCAATAGTTTGACAGGTTCATCCGCTGTGCAACCTTTGGTGGTTTTAATATTGACATTTTAGGTCAATTTTAAAACTACGTTCGTGTGGGAAATAACCCGTTTTCCCCAACAGTGTGGGTATAGTATCAATTATACGAACTGTGGTTTCTGTTCTGATTTCTGTCTATGTTTCAGGGTTTGCATTTGTTTATTTTGAGGATGAACGTGATGCCGAAGATGCTATTCGTGGACTTGACAATATACCTTTTGGATACGATCACCGGCGACTATCTGTTGAGTGGGCTAAGGCATGTTATTGTTCTTTCCGAGCTACTCCTTTGAACAGTAGCTGGTTTTGGATTTAGCGCTTAAAAAAGCAAAAAAAAAAGTGATTTGAAGGATAATTTTATTGTCAGGGTGTACGTGGTCGGCATCGTGATGGTTCTAAGTCAACAACAAATCAAAGGCCCACCAAAACCTTGTTTGTTATCAACTTCGATCCGATTCGCACAAGGGAAAGGGATATAACAAAGCACTTTGAGCCATATGGGAAGGTTCTAAATGTTCGCATTAGGCGGAACTTTGCATTTGTGCAATTTGCTACGCAAGAGGATGCTAGCAAAGCCCTTGAGGCCACACAAAGAAGGTGGAAGTATACTTATTTTATTGTTTTCATGGCCAAATGGTGTTGCTCATAAACTTCTAACATTGTGCTTTTCGCGGCAAGTTACTGGACAGAGTCGTGTCTGTTGAATATGCTTTTAAGGGATGATGATGAGAGGGATGACAGATATGATAGCCCTTGAAGAGGAGGCAATGGTAGACATGGGGATAGTCCATATCGGAGGTCTCCAAGTCCTTCGTATCGAAGGCGACCAAGTCCTGATTATGGTAGGGCTCAGAGTCCCGTTTATGACCGCTATAACGGTCCTGCTTATGAGAGGCCCAAGAGTCCCGAGCATGGGAGATACCGCAGGTACTGTAATTAATGCTATTTATTGTTTCTAGTTGTGCAAGTCAGTCAATAACATGTTTCAAGTTATTTATTGATATTGCCAATAATTAATTCATCCTTGGCGTTCATTGAATTAGCAGCCGATCGCCTGCTCGAAGGTCCCGTACATGAATGGCTGTCAGATTGGTGGAGAAAAAGTTGTTCCTCTCCGCCTATATCATAGTTTGTGCTTTCCTTAGAAGAACGGGTAGTTGTTTTCTTTTTCCTTCCTGTTGAACTCTTCTTTAAGTTGGGAGATTCTTAGGTAAAAAATGCAATTGATGCACACCCATTATGCATTTAAACGTGTATGGATTTATAGTCTCTGTGTTACAAAACAATAATGATTTCAATAGAATTAAAATGAGATGATCCGAGTTTTACAATAAGTTTGATTTTTGGGTTTGTTGGAAATGCAAGTCTCGTGCTTCCATGTTTCGTGCTTCCACAGTCTCTCTTCAAGCTTGAAATATTGGCCTCTAATCTTAATTATGAAGTTGTAACAGTTTGGCGTCCACTGTTTTTGTTTTCGAACTATAATTATAAATAATTACAATTAAAATCATGTCGGTATAAAACATAAACAGATCATCAATCAGGACCAAAATATATCTTAACCCAAGTCGAATTAACTAGTAATTACATCATTTATCTAAAGAGAATGTACTTTGAAAATAACATGAAAACAACTTCCAATTTTATTCCGTGTGAATCGAGTACAAATGATGGATGAAATGATCATCGATAATTTCGAAATAAAATCACGGAGCACCATTACTTGAACGTCTAAGTCATCATTATTTGGGGTTTCTTATTCATCCGGCGTTCTCCTCGTCTCGACATTTCCGATCATAACCCTTCACACCCTAAAATATTAATCAACATGAATGAAATATATGTGATTATTCGATTTAGAGCTTAGGGTTTAAAATTTTAATCGGATAAAACTTTTTATAAAAGATGAAACAAAAGCTAAGAGGAGAATGGTTACCTGGAACAATCAGTAGCACCGGTAATCGGAGGAATATAGAACTCGATGTCGCATTTCTGCTCTATTAGAGGCAGTCGATTAGGGTCATATGGCCCGATCTTTGGCAATTCCCCTTTAAGGCAGTCACATAGTTTGCGTTCGTCTTGCTTGGAATTCGTCAGGTCAGCAATGTTTTCGGCACCTATACAACATTCCGACGTCGGCGAACCCCCGGCCTTTAGGAAGCTCCAGCAAGGCTTTAATAAGGTGGCGACATCAACACACGAAAATCGGGTTTCATCGGGAATATCTACCTCCGCCAGAAGCGCTCTGCCTCCCGGTGAGTTCCGGTTGGCCGAAAACGCTGCCGTAAGTTCCATAACACCGGACGTGATTAAGAAGACAAGCGTGGCTAGAAATTTGATTGATGGACGCATGGTAGCTAATCAGTTTCGTTCCCTTTTATCTTATTGTGGTTTCAGATTAAGCTTATTAATATATAGGTTGTATTCGATATTTATAGCCAAAAAAAACTAATAAATGTTCACTAAATTACATGCAAACAATCAATTTGGTCACTGTAGTTTCGTAAGTAACAAACGAGTTATTAAACTTACTGAATTATAGTGATGGACTTCGATAAGCTTAAGGATCATTTTGTAACAGTATGATAATTTTATAATAATATGATAAAGTTTAATAATAATTTTATAACTATTTGAAACATTCAATGATTATTCTAAAATTTTTAAAAATTCAATGATGAATTTTTTTTATCTAAACATCATTTAACGACCATTTGTGTATCTTTAGTAAAATAAAACAATAAAAAAATGACATACACCCTTGTTTTAATTTTGTTTGTGAACCTTCGATAATGTGTCGAATGATAATATTATTTTTTTATCTCTGTAAATTTGTATGTGTGTGTATGTATATCTTGTTGATCGACTAATTCACTTTTAAATATTATAAATATTCATGATTGAAGCTACGTGAAGATATAGACCAACCACTAAACTGCCACTTCTTGATTTCATTGTTCGCAATATCTTTTATTATTTTCAGAATAGGTTCTATCATGCTGGGAAGGATTAATTTGTATAATGTTTAAATTATTAAGGACTTAAAATTAATTGAAATTCTTTAAGGGTTAAAGTAAAGATTATGCCAAAAAACTATAACAGAAGGCAGCGATTTTTGAGAAGATTAATAACAGAAGGCGATAACATCTCAGCTGGGGTGAGATCCATTCTTGTTGTTTCTTAGTGGAACAACGTTAGTTTCGCAAAGTAAAATTCAGTGAAAACTCTATTATTCAACCATTAATGTACGCGGTTTTTAAGTTTTAACTCAGTGGCATAATGACATAATTATTTTATATTATTTTTGTCAAACAATCTATGTTGAACGGAAACTGTTAGTTTATTAATTCTCAACACATGTTTCTAGCGTGGTATTTCTATATATTTTCAATTACAGAAGTGATATGTGGTATGTCATCATTTTAAATGACGTGACATATATCATGTCATCATTCTGAGAGACATCATGCATGTCATATCAACAACTGGTAACATGTGAAAATTTATGTCAATAATATGACATTATGATTGTTTATACAAAATGATTGTTTATACAAACATAAAGAAATGCGACAAAATGATCGTTTACACAAACATAAATAATTATATCATTATGTCTACTCTTAAATTCATATCTTCATCTTGAAAGAAAGAATTCTTGTAATCAATTTAATGGTAAGAATCCTTATACATAACGGATAAATTTTATTGTAAATAAGAAATAATCATTAAATTATTCTTGATGTTCCAACAACGAACTAGATTAAAAAGGTCGACTTGCAGTTTGTCCCTTACTCTTATCATTTTGTATATGATGTTAGTAAAACTGTATATTATTTGTTATGCTTTTTTATTAATACAAGGTACGTATAAAGTTGTATCTATTCGAAGATAACTTTTAATCATATGATATTGAACATTCACATTTTTAATAGTATATTCATGTATACTTGACATAAGGTATACTCAAAAATGAATGATCGATATTAATAGTGTGAAATGAAGAAATTTCATGAAAAAAAAAAGTGAATTGTTTTTAATTTAAAAGTTTTAGTCTTGTAGTAGCTTGCCAGGCCATTCCGTTGTTTGATTGCAGTGATGTTGGAATTGCATAAGCTAAAGCGATAACAATATGGTCTACATTTGGCAACGGAGTTAAACCACAGTCGGATTGTTGGTATTCGTCGGTCCGCAAACAAAACAGCGCATACCTTGGCTAAGTTTGCTTTACCTATTTCTTTGCCTACGTTTTACTATTAGGGTGCATTTGGTTCACGGAATGTAAGATTACCAGTGAGAATAAAAGATTATCAGTGAGAATAAAAATTATCAGGGAATAGGATTATTGAAAATGTTGTATTTTGTGTTTGGTTGGTTTAGCAGGAATGTAAGATTACCGTGTTTGGTTAAAGGAATAAAAGATTATTGGAATGTATATTTGACCAAATTGTCCTTATTATATATTTGTATAGTATTACAAATTGTAAAATATTTATATATTTTCTTTAAAAAATTAAATTCATAATATTTATATAATTTTTTTATAAAATTAAAAATATAAAAAAAAGTTTAATGAAAGGGTAAAATTTTTTTTAACCTCTAAACTTCATATAAAATTTTAATTATAGATTTTTTTTTTGTAAATCTAAATAATTTAAAGATAAATTTGTAATTTAACCTTCGTAGAATTTTTATTATTCAATGACAGAAGAATTATATTTTTGAAAAAAAATAAAAATTTAAGGGCATTTTAGTCCAAAACGCCGGTAATGTTACAATACCTAAGGGAAGTGAGGTAATGACATTCCCGGTAATATACACAAAAAAATCTACTATTGGTAATAAAACATTACCGGGAATGAGATTCCCGGCCAACCAAACATGAAAATGTGGGATTCTCATCCCATGGAAATCCCATAATCCTTGAACCAAACACCCCCTTATGATTCTCCATATTGTTAATGTGAGATTCCTGGTTCCCCTGACCATGTTAACGTCCAACTTAGACAATCGTCATTTGTTAACGAAAAATGACGAGTTTGGAACATAATGAGTAGTCGGGTGATCATTTTATAACTTTTAATAGTCGATGGACTTAATAAAGCAACATTCTATAGTCGGAAGATTATTTTCTAACTTTTAATAGCCGAGGAACTTAATAAATTAATATCCTATAATCGGATGACTGTTTGTTTATTTCACCCAAAAACTTATTTAATATCAAGTTCATTATATCGCAAGATAATCATTTCATTCGGCCTTAATGCTTGGCGTATGTATTCACGTAACTTTATTAGGTCATCAATAACATGCAAAAACCATGCCATCACGAGACATGCATTGCAACAACTTCAAAAGAAGTACTTAATTTCCAATCAAACGAACCTCTCCAAAGTTTAATACAATACATAACAAAAAATGTTGGAGTACGAACTTAAAATATATTAAAAATTTATTGATATAAAATTAAATCATTAGTAAAAGAATATAAAAAAATCTTAAATTATATAAAAATTTAAAATTTTCGGAAGAAACGAGAATGAGTTATCGATCATATAATAATGGCATAATATAATATAAATAAGTATTATAATCATTAAGAGTAAAATTGAGAAGAAAAAGAAACTTCACAAGCAAGGTAAATGATGACTTGTGTCTTTTTAACATAATATTATTATCTCATACATATATGGTGAAAAAATATTCCATCAACGGGATTGTATTGATGTCACATGAGTTACTTAAAATTTAGGATTATAGGTTTTATAATTTAAATTTTAAATATATGATTTAAATTTAGGGTTTAGAATCATTTGAGTATAACATAGGCATTCAAATATGTATTTTTATAGAGTCTAAATTTTACACAATGTCGATATTAAATAATTTTCCTTTATTATATAATGACGCATGACAATCAGGGGCGGATGCACTAAGCCCCCAGTGCATCCCCATTATTTAGGGAAGAAAGTGAAATTTAACAATAATATGTTAAAGAAAAATAGAAAAAAAATAAAAAAATTTGCATACCCGTTATTCTTAAGAAAAGAAAATTAAAATTTTGGACCCTCATTCTTAAATTTATAGATCTGTCACTGATGACAACATATTAAATGGGACTTGTCAAGTAAAAAAGATGATTATCATATATAATATTTATATAATTATTTAATACTTAGTAATTCAAAACTATATAGTTCTACCAAGTAATATTAAAAAATCATTAGAGGTCTTTAATTGATATTTAAAATGATAAATAAATAAAATGCATGGGATTTTTTTCATCTTACTTGTAGAATTTGAAAACCCCATGGCCTTTATTTGTTTATATCAATTTTAAATGACAAAAGATAAAATTTTCAATTTCATAATCCCATTATTATATAAAAATTCTAAGCAATAATACCAATACATTACCCTATATATACACGCACGCATGCATAAGCTTCAAATGCGACAACAAAAAATATCAACTAAAGAAACAACTAGATGGCTCGCTCAATCAACATTATCTTAGTCGTGATTGTTTTTCTGATCATATCGGACGTCGCAGAAATCGCGGCCGCACTTCCTTGCGCGGGTGTTAGGGCGTCGTTTAGGCTGTGCGTGAGCTTCTTGAAAGGCGGGGCCAGACCGACACCAGCATGTTGCTCGGGTGGTAGAAGACTCGTTGGTCAAGCAATGAGGTCCAGTAAAGAAGGACGAGCAATATGGGCGTGCATTAATCATATGTTGAGAAGAATTGGGTCATATGACGGTCGACGACTATCTCATCTCGGTCAGAGGTGAAGGATCCGTGGTATATAATTCGTTCGGTTATCGTCATCGCAGGTTGTTTCATGTTACTATTCTATTTATTTTCTATTGATAACTCGATTTTAAATAATTATGTCAAACAAATTAAATTTTAATGGTTACAATCGAAATTATTATTGTTATTTTTTGATGAATACTTTTTATAATTGTAATTAGTATTGAAAAGCCTACATCCAAACTTTGAGGTCAAGTACAGCTGATGAGTTTGAAATGAAGTTGGAACTCATTTTTTATTAGGCAAACAAGCATAGTGTAGGAAGATTTTATTAGACCCAAAATTATAATTTTTGTTTTTATTTGATAAAATAAAGATATAATTGAACAATTTTATAATTTGATTTAGCTCAACTTAATTATATCATCAAATGCTAAGATATTAAATCCCACGTGTGTCGAATGTCACTTACCTATGTATGTATAAGTCAATGTAATCCTTAAAACTATTTTTTTAATAATTTAACTTTTTAGCATTTTTATATTTAATGTATTAAATATCTGAATAATTATTTATATTTTATATTTAAATAATACCTTAA